GTTGTTTAACATGTATTCATCGATTACTATTATTTGCTAGAAGAAAAATTTTTTTCTTGTTACATGTAACCCAAATTATGTGAAAGAAAGACGAGTAAACATTGTTGAACGTTCAAAGATTTTCGAGTCTCCTGCAACCCCGCTATTTACTTGCCATCATGACGCAGTTACAAACTGCCATTTGAGGACACCGGATCTTCACGAGCTTTGTGGTGTGGCAGATAATTTAGTTGTTGTTACTAGCAGACCACGCTGCATAGAAAGTATTTTATCAGAAACATATTTTTTCACTCTTCTAGTTATTTGATGAAACGAAACGTCTATATTTTATTCCAGTAATATTTTTTCGTTAAAAGAGTTCTCTTGACAATTGCGGTCAGCTTTCCTAACATCGTAATGGCAGATCATTAGTGTACTGCCTTTTAAAGATTACTCCTAGGTATATTATTATGCTCCTGACAGCCATTTTCCTTCTTTCAATCCTGCAACTCTATTTTTCTTCCACTTTTATACATTTTCAATTATTGCAACTTTTTTGATAAACTTGTTTTGAGGGTAATTGGATTAAAATGGAACAGTAATCATTGACTTTGACATCAGTGCTGTAGCGGAAAATGAAAAGGGGAAGATTTTGAGCAACTTTGACTTCAAGAATGCCAAGAAAATGACTGCTTACATATGCAGTTCTCTTACACACTTTTGTCTTGATTTTTGCTGATGGTTAATAGCATTTGGCAAAAACCAGCATAACTTTATTTTATTTGCAGTTTTTTAGAGGTGTCGACGTAAGATTCAATTTGGCCTAGTTAAAACTGAAAAAATGAGAAGAATTGCGAGACAGGATTTGATCTGACTGCCGCTTTTAAAATAATACTTATTGGTCGTTCGTTCAATGTAGTGTTGCTAGAACTATTTCTTAAGTAATTTAGTTTGTAATGTGGTTATTTGTAGTTAATGACTATATTTACGCTTACAAAGAGTTTTTATGACATTTACGAGCGTGTTAGAGTAAAGATTTGTCATTGCAAGCAATTGTGACGGTAATTTAGTTACTGCTGATGACAGCAGAATAACTCGAGCGTTAGCGGTCTTAATGAAGGATGCTCTTTGTCCATATTTCATGCAAATTTACGTAGAGACGCCTATTTTTGTGCATGCAGCTACTGTAGTTTGTACGATGGCTTTCCTAGGTAAAGACCAAAAACAGCAACATTTCTCTGTCTGAATAAACCAAGCTGGCGCTTTTATGCTTTCCTGATTTGCAGCTGGTTTCTTTAAGCCAGTCACTCATAACTGCTTGAACTTAAATATTTAATCTTTAATAATTTTCTCATTCAGATCTTTCTGACGCTATTGCAGACGGCCAGAGTTCGTTTCTGTCTGAACCTTATAGCTTCAAAGCTTGTTGGGAAAAATGAATATTTTGCTATCAAAGCAGAGTTTAGTGTAAATATTGGCTCTGAAAAGTCTTTTAACAAAAATTGCCGCAGTTCTCTGTTGATGCCTAATACAGTCATACTTGTCGTCATAATGCAAGCATTAATGATACATAGTCGAAAGCCAAGACGTCATTCTTCTACTCCAGTACATGTTGAGTATGCCAAACAGCTTCTGTACCTGGAAACTGGATGCGAAAGCATTAGCAATTTATATTTGACTTCTGAGCTTTATAAGATTTTGTTTCATATTCTTTTCCTGTCTGCTTTGTTCTTTAAAATCTTAATTTCTTAATAAATAAATCTTTACACTTTGGAAATGACGACATGTCCGACGTACCTTTGGTTTTATGTGCGAACAAGTTCAGTACAGACACAGTCAAGGGGACTGCGCTGATTTTAGAAAAAGCGGTAAATAACCCTTGTTAATATTTAGTTCCCTGTAGTTACAGACGCGGCATCCAAAAAAAATGTATTGATTTTTTCTATTTTGCTGGTTTACGACTTGTTGCTTTCAGAATTAGAAGAAAGAAACGTGTCTGACCATTGGAAGTTTGGTGGTCTTGGTGCATTAGATCTAGCTGAAGCAGTTGTCAAAACATGTAAATTACCATCGAAGGGAGGTTAGACCTATGTATTGAAGAAGAGCAATTCAATGACTTTTAAAAAATAACTCTTGTGCTACAATTTATGTGCTACCGGCCTGCAAAAGCTTTTGCATGAGATCGTTGGGAAGACTTCAATAAACGCTGCTGGAGGACAGTAAATTTGGTATGGCTTGCGCAAGAGCAGTAAAAAACTAATCTTGATATAAAGTTGCATTGCCTTGTTAAGATCTTAACAGAGTCCAAAAAATATGTTGAATCCGAATACGTCACCAACGTCCGAGGTAACAAAGAGCTTATTCCAGAAGTAATTATATGTGCGGAAGGATGTGATTGTATGATATGGCGGGTTTGCTTTTAAATCAAGCACTTTAAAAGAAATTTGAAAATACTAGTCAATTTGACTTTCTGTTGCTGATCTTGAAACTACGATGGTTTAAGGAATCTAAACAACTGTCTTAGTTAGCAGGACGTATTTTTAGCTTTCTGTCCTGACATGACAACACCATATATAGTTTGTCTAAGTCACTTTTCGTTTAAGCGCTGATATTTAGTTAAGAACAAAACTGTCTTTCGACATCTCCCTCGTGTCTGCCTTTTGAGCATTTCAGCAAAAAGTGCTTTTGGCAGAGTACTCTTAGCTTCCTCACCCAACTTTTCTCATTTGAAAGCAAATCGTGCATGAAATTTTTTTAGCTGCCTTTATTAGCTGAGAAAAACGTTGGGAACCAAAACTGCCATAATTGCTAGGAAAATGTTTGGGGCTGTTGGAGTAGAACTGTTAGAATCAGCTGGGGAGGAAAATGATTAATTTTAGAAATGGGTAGAATGACCTACCAATCTGCATGGCGAGAATTCAGTTTCCACTTTTTCCACGACCCAACTAAAAGAGGTTGTCCTGTTGGTACCAGTGCATAGCAATCTATCTTTTTTTATTAGAGTTTCTGAAAAACAAAATTTTGCTCCCAGGCCTCACTCTGCCTATAACTGGTGTTAATGTATACTAAACTTGTGTATCTTTTGTGTGGAGCCATCCAGACAATGCCTGGCTTTCCAAATAGCCCGTTTTTCTACAACGTCAGTTTAAATTTTCTGACCTGGCAAGTATACGATTTGGGCTAGTTTTCTCTTGCAAAGTTCGGTGCCGTTCCCTTCTAAAAGTTCGCATAACCAGAAGATCCTGACTGTCTGTTTTAGATGTAGTTTTTCAGCTATATATATCGGGTTCTCAGCTGCTTAATTCTCAAACTTTTTTTCTGAAGGTGTTAAGTTACTGGAAGAGAGGTTTTTAATTAGATACTGGAGTACACAGTCGCTATTTAAAAAAGTGCGTCACTTAAGCAATGAAGTCTTAAAAAATGGTAACAAACGAAACTTTTAAAAGAATTTGCTGAATAGTGCTATGAATGCACATTAAACTCAGAGTTATTATACCGCTGCCGCCATTTAAAATGCGATAGCATTACGTGCGAAAAACTCGCCATTGAGCTACACTTTACGTAAACCTACTAGCATAAAACAGTAGATATAGAAAGACTAAGAGAACTTAAAAAACCTCAGAAAGTTTATTTTCGTATGAGTACGCCAAACGCCAAACTGTGTTTATACAACTAATATGCAGGTATTCCCTGTCCAAATGGTTCTCCATAAGAAAAAATTTTTGAACTTTTAAAAATCCTGGAGGACAGATTTTTTCGTCACTAATTTGTAGCAGTCAAAATTTTTTATTTATAAATTTAGGCAGAAGACAAGTAACATATATTATCCTTTATTAACAAATACCGTCTTCGTCGTATGTACTCAAATTCTGACCCTCGCTCAGTCCAAAGAGATACTTCCATGTTGCAGATAAAGGTCAATAAAAATCTTTGGAAATATTTTAGAAACGACGCGCGAACAGCTTTTTTTTGTCCCCGAGCAAAAGCAATAACCTTTTGATGTCTTTGAACAATTCTTGTTAAAAAAGTAACATTAAAATTATTTTTTTGCTTTGTTAAAAGACCGAAAAGTATTCTTCACCAAGGACGCACAAGAGCTGCAACAAAGGACAACAGTTTCTACCTGAATTGTTGTGAATAAAAAAAGTAAATAAATAATCAAGTAAGAAAAGAGATTTCAAACTGCTTTTACCAATAATTTGTGATAGAAAACAATATACATAAAAAATCAAAAATAGATTGTGCCGTAATCATTGTGGCAGAGCATTTTAATTTGGCGGAAAAGATGCTCTGGTGGCCAAAACTTATGAAACAACACAATCATAAATTGGTAAAGCACTAGATTTTTTTAACAATTTTTTAGAAGCAAAAAGAAAAAAATAGATGGAATGTTGAAGAAGATTTGCTGAAATTTCGAAGGATATCATTTTCCGAGTATGAGTAGCTGTCTTAAGTCTTTGTGTTGTATTTGTTGTGTAAGGATGTTTCAGTATGAACTTTGAGGGAAAAAGTATAATGCATATAGTGGAAAGTATAATGGAAAAAATATAAAAGGGTCACTCAAAAGAAAAAAACTAGGATAGTTTTATAATAACTTATATCTGTAGAAGTACCAGATGTTTCTTTTTACTAATTATCCTTAAACTGAAGTTGTTGATAAAAAAAAAAAGAAAGGTAGAGAACAGGAGTAAAAAAGCAGATGGTAAAAATAACTGGAACCGGAAAGTGATACTGACACACTGATGTATTGGAAGATGTGGTAAAATATATCAAGTTGACACTGTAACCAATATTTGCTGTTCACTTTTGAGACTGAAATTCGGCAACAAAAAGTGTAAGAACTGAAAACAGATCTGGTGTAAGAAAAAAATTCTTTTATCAACATAATTCACAATTGATTAGCATCAGCAATCCTTGCCGACATTTAATAAATGGCAGATTACATAGCATGGACTTACACGTTTTCTTCTTGTCCTTGTACGGCACTCACAATTTTTTTTGAGAAACACATAAGAATTTAGTAGAAGAGAAAGCAATAAACAAACTCAAACACTTTTTTTTGTTCTTCTTTAAAGTCACAATGTTCACTTAAATGAAGCAAAAATGCCGTTGAAACAGCAAACAGTAAAAGGTGACCAAAAAAAAGGAAAAAGAAAGAAATAAAATAAGATTTTTCCCTTTTTACTTTTGGGGAAACAGAAAGAAAAAAGAAAAATGCATGGAAAAAGGTGTGACTAAGGTTGCAGGGCAACCGGCAAATCTTCGAGGGTTTACTAAACAATTGCTGTTCATAGACGAAATACACTACAAAAAATTGCAGCTTTACACCAAATGTAGTTTGAATAAAATAAACAAAAACAAAAAAAAAATAATGTCCTTTTCTAGCTTTAACTACACACTAAATTTGTAATTACATTCATTTGAATCTAATGCTGTTATTGTTTTAACTGTTACAGAGCGATACTTACAATACAGAGCAGAAACCTGAGGTTTTCAGTAATGTATGCAAAAAAAAAAGTGTTAACATAAGATGAGATCTTTCTATGTCCAATATTTGTTTTTGTAAGAGGGACCGCGCATAGTAGCGGTTTATTATTGGAAAAAATATCAAAACAGAGAGGCTGTTTTTAATTTCCATTTTCTTCCTTTTTCATCTTCCATTCATATATTTGAGTGAACAAAAACAACACGAACATTTCCTGGCACTGAAAAGCCAGTAAATTTTTGGTAAATAAGACTATTAAACAAAAATACTAGACAAAATTTATGCATATCAACCCAAAAAATCATTGATATTCGGCCTATGCCGTTATTCATCAAGACGGTTGTTGCTTGTAGGTAAAATAATGCGGACGAGCTATCTGAAGCCAAAGTTCTATTCCACTTGCTTTGATCAACGTCACTGCAGAAGTCTAGAAGTATTGTTTTGGTTATAAAAAATAGTGATATTGACTGTCGATAATGGGAATAATGAGACACTGGCTGTTAGCTCAATGTTATAAAAAAAAGCTGACACAACTTGTAAGCGGTATTAAAAAAATCACTAAATAGATTTTAATGCTTTACCTGATCGGTTACTGGTAAACCATTGACTGCCATAATTCTATCACCTATTCTTAATTTTTCAGCAGCAACACTTCCCGGCTGTAATGATGTTACTAAAATTCCTCTATTTCTTTTTCCTATTCCCATGCCAAGCTGCTGATCAGGTTGTTTCTTCAACTGTATCATCAGTGTTTCGCTGCATTCTTCATACAATTCCGGTAACACTTCTATATGTGATTCCGTCTGGGTTACAGTTTCTTTTTTAGAAACAACTTCTGTCGAGCTTTCGGCTTTACTCTCACCTTTTTTTGGTTGTTTTTCATCCGTTTCTTCTTCTTCAGGACTCACTGATCGCTAAAAACAAGCATCAACAAAAATAAATGCCTCACCCTAGTAGACTCGACAAAGAGTTTTTTTTAAAAAACAATCCATATTTTACAAAAAACCATGTCAAGCTTATTTTTTACAATAAACACAATTTAGACTAAATCTCAATCTCTACCGGCATACTATACATAATCAGCACCTGATCAATGCTGCTGCTTGGCTCCTCGGTAACTGGAGACAAATCAGAATGCATAATTCCATTTCGGTCTTCCTCGATAAGTAAAGTTGGAATAGCTGATGGCCGGGATGAAGGTGGTTGAGGAGGAGGGAGTTGTACTGCAGTTTCTTCTGCGGCATGTTTTGTCTCTTTATTTTCTGCAGTTTGAAATACTTAGAGCTTCAAACGAATTGCAAAAAACTGTAATCAACACTTCACAAAATATAAAATTAATAAATAGATATATAAAATATCTATTTGTCAACCTGTTGCTGGCGAATACAACCGTATTTCCGGTGGCGGTAATATGCCGTCAGGAGAAACAGGAACTTTCTTCTTATCGTCTGTCTTCTTGCTGTCTTGAACCGGAATTGTCACTTTCTTAAGAACTTTTTGTTTTTGACTCGTTGTCTCCGACAACTTCCATCTACCGACTTTTAGTGAAACTAAGCCAACACAAGCCTTAAAACAAATTTTCCAGAAAGTTAGCAAAACACGGAACTCTTTTATAAACCATCACTCGATTTGAAGATCTGCAGTCAAACCAAGTCAAAAAAACAATAACAACCAAGCTTACTAACTTTCAACATTGCTGCGACATCTTCCTGCATGGATGTTGTTACGTCAGCTCCATTTACTGCCAAAATCTGTGCAAACTTATCGTTAAAATCTGTCAGTCTTTCGAAAAACAATAAAGATGTTCATCGAGACTTAGAGAAAAGCATTAATAGTGCTTAAAGCAATGATGAAATAATTTTTCACTAAATAATAGTTTTAAACCTAGTACCTGATCTCCTTGCAGAAGTCGGCCGTCCATTTCAGCGACACCACCTTTAACAATTTCTGATATGTAAACTCCAGGTTCATCTTTGCGACCAACAATGCTCAAACCAAAACCTCGACCAGCTTTTTTTACCAACTCTACTTCCATAATATTATATATTTGAGTGGGGTCTAGTACCGATAGCTGTATGTTAAGGTCACGAAAGACTTTCATTTGTACCTGTAATCAAAAGCACCGAAACCTGTTTATCTTTTTTGTCTGATCTAAAATATCAAACAAAATTTTAGTGAAAACAGTAAGTTTTATGCGCTAAAATAGAGAAAACTGGGTCAGAAAATGTTGGAATTTATATATTTCTAAGTCTTATTAGTCACCTTAGAAGGCGTCCTCCTCAAAATTGATATTGCTTGTTCATGTTCAACACCCCTGAGCGAAATGCCATTAACCTACAAACATAACGGCTCCACAGTGAGTGACTTCATTGTATAAGAAACTGTTTAGCGTATACCTCTAGAACTTGATCACCAGGTTTTAGGCGTCCATCAGTAGCTGCAGCTCCGTCTGGATATACCTCATGGATAACCACTGTTCCAAGAACTGTATCAGAACCTCCAACAATGCTCAAGCCGAGACCCTAAAGTAACATTTGCGTCTTTTATAATGAGAATGACAATAAAACAGCAAAGACGTCAAGATGCAAGCACTAAATCAGTGATATTGTAATAAATTTTTCAAAATACTTCAGCCTTATTTTAACTTCAGACCTTAAAATATCCAAAATTTTAGTTTCAGTTTTAATGATGTTACTGCTATGGCAAGTATTGCAGTATTAAGTAACTGAAAGAAAAAATCTGATCAGTGGTTGACTTCTCAAAAAATTTCATTCTCTTATGAAAGTTATAAAGCTTTACAAATGTTAGTAAGCTTTTAACTAAACTTAATTAAATGACATCAACTGATCAGTGAGTTTTATGTACTTTTCAATTTAAAGCAAAACAGAGCGAGCTCTCATGAAAATACCCACAGCTGTCTAAATGTTTGTTGTCTTGAAGAAAGGGCAAAAAAGAGTTGATAAAAACGTGAAAGAGAAAAATTTTCTAAATTTGCAAAAAATAAATTTTTCTTTTGTTCTTTCCAAAACTTCGCAAAAAATGAAAATCTTTATACAAATTTTGCTGAAAATATTAGAATTTAAAAACTGACATTAAAAAAAATTAGCATATACCTTTCCTTCTTTATCGATTTCAATAAGCGTTTCACGACCAGTTTCAATCTGTGCCGTACTGGCCATGTGAGACAATGATTCTTCACGACTTCCTAAAACAAAAACCAACCCAAGTTTCTGCTAGTTTTTTGTAATCATCAAAAATGTTTGTTTTATCACTGGTTTTTCTCCCAGGCGTTCTTCCTGCGCCTCCAGACTCCCCCTGTCCCCACCTCCCATCATTCTCTTCGGTTTTCAGCAAATCATTTGCAACGTTCATTTCTCATTATATAAAAATATTCAAATAAAAAATAATAAGTGAAATCACTAAAACTCACTTCATTTTTTTCTTCTGCTGTCCAAATTTATGCATCAGACACGCAACAAAAAATTTCTGTCTATGTTATTTCAAAAAAAAAAAAGGAACATCAAATAATTTCAAGAGCTCTGTAAAAAGATAAAGTAACCTTTTCTTGCCTTTCAATTTAGCAAGTTTTTGAACAGATTTTTTACTCCAATAAACACTAAAGTGACTTCTTTCAACATAAAAAGATATTAAGGTAGATGTGATTGAAAAAAACTATAAGATAATTCAGAAATCCAATTCAACAATAGTAAGCGTTCTAAACAAAGAAAGCAAAGAACTTTTTAAAAAGGAAAAACATCTGTTTTTTAGACTTAAAAACAAATAATAATACAGGAATCGTAACATTTCAACAAATTCGTTCAGTAATTAATGGTTTTTCTTTTGAATTTTTAACACTCACTTCTCTCAGAAAAAATGACGTAAACGGCACTTGGGTTATTTGACCATCTTTTACTAAATAAGCTGCCATCCAAAAAAATTTTTCTTCTTCCTGCTTTTCACAACATTTTTTTAAAAACAATAGTTTTTTGAGAAAAAAAAACATGGAAAAAAAGTAAGAAAAGATAGGGAAGAACAGGTAAATAAGTTAAAGATCATGTTTACTTGTTGACGCACCACAAAGACTAAAATAGGCAAATAATGAAGCAAACTCATTAATGCTCGCTTTTTCCTATCCTTACATATAATAGTAAAGTAATTTATAAAAAAGAGAAAACCAAATGGTACGTGAAATACAAAGCTGATTATAGAACCTCGTTGCATCTAGTGCATTTTACACACACACTTTCCTACCAAACATCAACAGCCAGCAGATAGAATTCAACCAAACTTTCTGCCTTAGTTTTCAAAACCAAGAAGAGGAATAAAGACCAAGAGATAGCACTGAAAGTGAACGATGACAAAGAATTTTCTGACACATGCACGAGAAAAAGACAGTAGAAAAAAAGCAAAGAATTTTTGATTGAAAGATAGCTAGGAAACAGCAAGCAGAACCTAAACCACGGAATCTACTGGAACAGCAACTGCCGTGCAGAACAATAAGTGAGATTCCATGGTCGAATGAAACCTGACGTCAAAACTGTGCATAGTGTCTTGTGCATATCTGAATCCTCCCCCATTCCAGTTCATTATATGTCTTAAACTAGCTAAAAACTACGTTATTCTTCCTTCTCCGTTCCCCTCCATTCTTCTTCCTTCTACATCAATATGTCAAAGTTTATAGGTCATGCTTACGCTGCAAAATTTTTTCATTTTTTCCTAATACTCTTTTTGTTTACCTGTTGCCTTAACCTCCTCCTGTGTGCTTTTCAAAAGAAAGCTAAAACCAACGTATATTTGAACAGAAAATAATATTTAGTAAAAAACATTGAGAAAATGACATCAAAAAAGAAACAACCAAAACCTTGTTTTCCTTCGGATATTTTCCTCGTAATATTATCGTGCCCTGTATCCATCGTATGAATCAAACCTTCTTCAGCATCATTGACAGACTCCTTATTAGCGTTTCTTCCACCTAACTCTCCCTAGAAACAAAAAAAACAGGATAGAAGAAAATCGTCTTTTTTTTTTTGCTTTCACTCCTTTCTGAGTTCCTTCACTATGACGGCTCTGCTCCTTCTGTTGTGCTCACCAGTATTTTATTGTCAGCCGTCAGGTGTCACATTAAAATAATTGACAAGAACTTAAAGTTGGTCGTTATATGTCTATGACATTTCAGATGTCAATAGTCAACAGGGAAAAGAGAGGGGAAAAATCAATCAATCCAAAAATAAAGATCTCCAATTCTGGAACAAAATTCCAAGTAATATGAGTTATTAAAATTAAAAAAATGCCGCATAAAAAAAGAAGATTTTTTAAACTATATTCAAAAGCTAACATAGCAAATACGACTATTTAAACTGTTTGCCTTCGCTATTCAATTATTATTATTACCATTGTCATCATTATTACCATTATTATTATTGCTACTGTTTTTATTATCGCTATCACAATCGTTATTATTGCCATCATTATTGTTTTGTTATTATAATTATAATTACAATTATTATAATTATTATTATTATTATTCTTATTATTATTAATATTCCTATAACCAATATTATTGCTATCATCCTTATAAACTGTTACTGCCGCTGTCGTTTTCAATGTTCTAAAGACAGATGACAAAAAAAGAGAGACGAAAATTTGCTAATTTAAGATAAATAATAAAAAACATTGATAGTGAAGTAGAAAGTGGTTCTAAAAAAAGTCTATTATATGTCTCAAAAATTGTGCATAAACTAAAAGTGAGAAAAAATCAATGTTAGTTGCAATACGAAAACAGAAAAAGAGTAATGAGTGTTCTGGTGAACACCCTTCAACCCGATTTCCTTCCACCTCATCTGCCCAACAACCCATCCATCCTCCCAGCCACCCATCAGTCGCCGTTTTCTGTCACCGACGCCAGGCAACTTAACACTTTTCGCCGCGTCCACTTCAAAAACCTAATATTTAGAAACCTTATAATAGTAGCTTTCAGTCCTTTGACCCTAAGCAGTCACTTATTTCTTCTTTTCTTCTTGCTGCTTTTTTTACTTTTTCCCTCGCTGTTAATATGAACAACGTGAACAATACATCAAAATTTTTCAAAAGAAAAAAAGCATTTTTTTTTTCTGAGATGTCCCATCACAAATGCATAGATAAAGTAGAAAAATAACGTGTAAAGGAATTTGTTATTTGATATTGAAAAGTAAGTAACAATAAATCTTGATAATGAAACATTTTTGCGCACCCTCTCATGACCATCTTCCCAGCAGCAGCAGCAGCAGCTGTATTTCCACGATCGATTGACCGAAAGAAAAATGCTAAACTTAACACGACTGCCACTAATAAACAGCAGAAAAACGAAAAAGAAGGATGCTAATGTGTGCCGACATTTATACAGCTATTATGAAAAATTCATTCTTTAAGAAGAAAAAAAAACTTCATCCCTTTCTTCGCTTCAGTCACATTGCAACGTCATCCTTCTACTCTTTCTATATTTCCCCTCATTGAATTTTTTTATATCTGGTGAAAAAAATTTCTAAACAGGTAACTCTCAAATAAAAAACAAAGAATTAGAGGAGGGACGAGAGAAAGCACATAACTTATTAGAATGTAACTGAGTAAAACGAAGAAGTAAACTACATAAAATAATGACTTCTAGGCCGAAAATTAACCTAGCCATCATGAAAGCTCAGCCGACAAGCTTTTAGATGCTTTAACATGTCAGTAAGTTAATGGTTGCTGCACAGATTGCACAAGGAAGCATTAAACTGTTGAGACAGAAGTTAATTGGATAATCAAAATATGAACTTCTCATATGTGAATAAATGTATCTGTTCATTTAAACTCTAATTTCTAATGTTTTGTATTTGTGTGCTTGAAACTATAATAAAGCATTTTAAAGAAAAAACTGTTTCAGTATAAAACATAAAAATTTTCAAAAAAATTGTAGAAATTAAAAAGTTTGTTTCTACCCTTTTTACCCAGATTTTGAATCCCTAATCGATAAGAGAGCAAAAAAAAAGAATATTTTACATCGTCTGTGTCCTGCAGATTATCTTCTTTTCGGCTTCCAGGGATAACAGTTTTATTGTATGGAAATACTGGACTTGTTTCGGAACGATATAATTTCGAATCTGATTTTCCTGTAGCATCGATCTGTAACGCATATTTCAGCTAAAGAAGATTTTCGCTTGTTCCAAAGACGTGCAAAATAACTGTGAATTATACAAAATAGGTGTAATGGAATTTTTACTTTAAAACAAAGAAATAACAAAAAAAGTAGAAAATGAAATAAAATGAAGTAAAATATAAAGCCCAACCACTGCGTCATGTCGCCTTAGCAAAAGAAGCTCAAGCATTCCAGCATCACAACATTCCCGTATTTTGGCTGAAGCATTCAAATGCGAAAGACCATATAGAACTCTACCATTTACCTACAAGTTTCTCCGCAATAACTCCAGCAAATATTTCATATCCATTGCCAAAACAAATTTCAAATGCCACGCCAACGTTTCCATATTTATTTCACTTTTTGAAGTGCCAATTTTTTACTGTATTAGTGAAAATTATATGCGATATATGACTTCCAAAAAATTCGTAAAAGTCATTCATTACCTCAAGAAGCTCGTCTCCAACTTCAATCGGCAACGGACAAGTGGACCTCACACCAACTACAAAAACGCTCGTCTTGCCACCACGTTCTTTGTTGCCAGCCAAAGAAAGGCCAAGTCCACCTGGTGGCACCTTGTCCAGTTTGAACAATAATTTGTCGCCCGATAAACTGTTATATTTGCGCATAACTTTGTCTACAAATTTCACACTTTTTTGTAAGCCAAAAATTTATAAGTGTACCTACGTAAAAGAATAACAAGAAATTAAAAAAATTACCTGTTGTGTAACAAAATAAATCCTCTTCTTCGTCATCCGACAAATGTTCAAGAGAAGCAGCGCTCTCTTTATCTAATTTCTGTCTAATTGATTCACGTCGTTTTAACCACTCGACCACCTCAGCCTGAGAAGACGGCTTCTTTATCGAAAAGCACTCATCCTAGAAAGATTTGGGGTTTATAAGAAAGCTCAACCTCATTACAAATGACAAAACCTTGAAATTTTGAGAAAATAATAGCAACCTTCTTTTAAGTTAGTTTTTAGTGAAATGTTATACTAATACAAGAAAGATTTATTCAATTAGTAAATCAAAAAAAAAAAAAATGATTGCTGGCCCTTATTAATATTACTGCAAAAAATACTTATGCAGAAATAACGTCTGGTAATGATTATTGCACTAACTTTTGGCGATTCCAAACTTGTATTTTCTGAAAGTAAAGGAGATGTGAATCCCTGTTCTTCTTCTTTTGATACTTCAAAGGCTGTCTTTTCAGAGTTAGAAGTTACAGTATCAGTAATTATGCTACCTTCTTTGTTTTCCTAAAACGTACTATCTAAACAAATTTTGTCCATTTTTTGGGAACTAATCAAATAAAGCCATAATATAGCAGCAGCACAAACAGTTTGCACTGCGGAATGCTTTAGAATGCTTCCTTTTATGAATTTCAATCTGTGAAAAAACACCTGTTTTGGCTCAGATTGTAAAGTTTGCTCATCACTGGTGTCTGATTCTTTAGTTTCAGCTTCAGAACCTTTCAGGGCGTTTTCTGCTTCTGTCGTGCTTCCCTTGCTAATACCGCTTTCTTCTACATCCGTCAGATCCTCCGTTAAACTTCCTGTTTTCATAACAACATCTTTCACTGCTTTTTTCTTACCTTCTTCCGTCGTGAACGTAACGTCAGGTCTCAAAGATCCCTCTTTTGTGCTACTTGAAGGTCCAACTGTAGCGCTCTAAAGTCAACTGATCATTTTTCCAAAATAAGATCATTTTTCTCATCAACTTTATATTAAAAGTAGTGAAAGCATTGGAGGAGAATGTAAACATGTACGAACATTTTGAGTTGCTACGCTATATAAACTTTGAACAACAAATTTCACTGGATTGGTCGCATTTTTGATTAGGTGTACAGCTTGTTCATGAGTAGCGCTACGAAGATCCTGATCGTTGACCTTAAAAAAAGTAACGATGATAGGCAAAAGTAAAAGAGAGTAAATATTCTTTAGTATTCTAAAAAAATTTGTTAAATTTAATTCAGTTGTTTTATGCCTTAGTTAATATGCAAGTGGTGCAAGAAGTCAGACTAAAGAGAACATTATGATGCTATTCTAGAAAGTTCAATCAACGTTTTATGTCTACTGTAACAAACTTTTAAAAATAATATCTTTACAGTCAGAATCATTGATGAATTAGGTAAGCAATTTTAAACTTCTGTGTAGCATGAGAATAAGTAAAAAATTCACGCTTAAAAGTCGATCTCCCATATTCATCAGTCCACTATTCCCAGCAGGCGAATCTGGCAATACAGACTTGATGAAAATTCCCGTAACAGTGCTAACTCCATAAGGTTCAGTAGCACGATCCATCTGCACTCTTCCTCCGACAATGCTAATCCCTAAAAACTACACCAGTTTCCAACGACAACAACCCAAACTCCAACTACCAAAAAGTTTGATCAAAAGCTTTTGATCCGATGACTATTGTTCAGTTGTTTTTCAGACAATATACTGCTTCGCTACATATACTGTTAAGGCCTAACCAAACGACTGTCCCGGATCCCTTTCAAGAACAACAGTTTTCTCTTCCCCCCAGCATCGCATGCGTTCCAGGCGTTGCTGCAGAACAAGGTATTTAAGAATCATCACTACAAAAGCAAGACACGATTACACTTGTTTGAAAATCAAGAAATAACCTGCTCAGATGCAGCATCACTTTTCGTTTTTAAGATCATTCGCTTTGCATTTTTGTCGCTAGTTTTCTCATCTTGCTGCATCTCCAGATCTGCACTAAAGTGTACTTCAGCAGGCACAACCTCCTTCTTCACTTCCAGTTTAGACCTAGCCGAAAAGATTGCAATATAATGCAATTCAAAAGACATTTTCGAGTCTTTGAAATGACAAAAAAATTGCCTAATTTGGTAGAGTTAGATCTTAAGAAAGAGTTTTCAGTGGAACAAAACAGACAAAATAGCTAACTGTTCTGATTCATGAACTGCTGCTGCATCTGAAGCAGAAGTTGAATCCGGCTGTTGCTGCGTAGCTGTTTGTGCATCTGAAGACTGTTCTTCTAAGGCAGGTTCTGGAGGCAAACTACTGCGTTCTTCTAGAAGTCCTTTGGAACTCAGCGGTGGCTCTCCTTCACCATTTTCAGGCGGCACTTTTTCAGGCGGCGAATTTCGTCCAAGTTCAAACGTTACACTTGGTTTTACAGCACTCTTAACAAATATTTTCAGTGAAGTCAGTCAAAAAAAAAAACTATAAAAAACAGAACAATGATTCCTCTCTCAACTAAAAAAGCTATCTTTTACTTTTCATTTTCTAAAACTAATAATGGAAAGGAATGGCTCTTAACCAAATCACTCTTGATTGCCGAAGGAAGTTCGTCGGTTTTTTCTGGACCATCTTCAGTCGGTGGTGGTGCACCCCTATCACCTGGTTGCACTGGTCTGCCCTTCCAATCGGTAAGGGTCGCTGCCATCGAAAGTTCCAAGTACGTGTCTTTCAAAACAGCCTTTAAAAAATTTGAATTACAGACAAATGAAAATTTTCATGAACACATTTTACCATGACTATTTAAAGCGGGTATATATATTTAATAATCCTAGAAAAAAAAAAGAAAGAAGAAAATAAAAAATGATGATAATAATAATAAAAAAATGACAATAACAATAACAATAAAAATAATAATAATAACAGCAATAATGAAACAGAAAATCACAAGGTAGGCAAAAAGATAAATTAAGAATTTCTCTGGCAAAAATGTTAAGGAGGCAAAGTTGCTGACAAAGAATAAAGCAACAAAATAAAAGGTTTTCAGAACAGAGATCTCAACCGATTAAGTATACATCAATCAAGGTGCAGTAAAGCCATCAAATCCTATTTGCTTAAAAATTCTTCTGCTCAATCAATAAAAATTTTGTTTCATGTGTCAAAAATCAGAGATGAAAGCTGCAAAAAGAGTGCCCTTTACGAACAAACTCAAGACTTGAGATGATGGTCAAAATATTTTTGAATCAACCTGTTTTAGTCTATCCGAAAAAAACAGTCCGAGGTTTACACACTGCTGCAGCTAGAAAGCAGTAGTACACACCTTAGAAAGTTCAAAAAAAGTTATTTTACACAGCAAAAGAAAAATCCATTGAAATTTATTTTTTTGATGTAAGCGTCAAAAAACAATTGAATTTATAAGAAGGAAACACTTGCACAATCCCGAAAGGAAGTCTACGTTTGCGTCATAAATGCCTCAAAAGAAATCAATGAAACACTTTAATTCTTTGAAAAAAATGATGTTATTAATAAAAGCATGTCAGAATTCTTGCATTTGTACTTATGCTACTTATGCCTTGCCTGTCTTATCCTCATTGGTCCACGTTAACTCCAGAGACCAAAAAATTTCTTATGAAGAGTCTGATTCCGAAACCTAGCTTGACAATCGCGTATCAAAAAACACTCATCTGTTACGTTCATCAGTTTCCGAACGAGACAGAAGAAGGGGAATATAGTACGTACAGTGTTAAAACAAAGTTCAGTCCAATTTATGCTGAGTAACGGAAGAATTTGAAGCCAATAATAAAAATTTTTATTTTGCTTTCATAAATCGCTGAAATCTTTTACCTGTAATATTTCAGAAACGAAAGCTTGAAAATCAAAGTGTTCATTGTCAGAAGACGTTTCACAGCCTTGTGAGATGCTGATGCTCGTTGATGGAAGATCATCGTCAAATGAGTCGTCACGATTAGATTGGGAAACCTTCCGCCGGCCGACGTAAGGGCTTCGATAGAATTTAGGAAAAACTCTAAACCACCAACGAATTAGAGTATGATAAGTCGGCAAGAAAATAACCCGTAGAAATACTACGTGATGATAAAGCAAATATAAGGTAATTTTTTCAAAAGAGCATAAAAAAGATCAACTGTTTAAAAGTTGCAGTAAATAAAGAACTTCAAAATTATGTTTGATGTTATTATTCAAAAGCAGAAAAAATTTGAAATTTTTAGTTTAAAATTAAATGTCACCAAATTCTGCTGCCTTGACGACACCCAAAACAGCCGTCTTAATATGCGCGTGTATGTTTATTTTATTACAATAGCAAACTTTTTTTATGAAGAAAAGACCGCTCATACTACACGTTATCTATTATACAATATAATATTCCTGAAGCTGCATTGATAAACAAACTTTGGTGAAAGTCGATTAACTGCAGGAATTTCAGCTTCCTGATGGTAACGTTCTTTCCACAATTTTGCATCTGATGCGGTTATGTAGACGATGCTGCAATTTTAAAAATTACAAAAATTTTTTTTACCGACTAATTAAGGTTTAAGTATTACCAGTGGTCAGTTCCAAATAGAAAGTTTCTTTCCCCTACCAAACAGGCAAATAAAAGACTTACCTGCACTGAACACCAATTAAATTTGCTCGTTTCAGGATAGAACGAGCCTGTGAATTAGTAACATTTCGAAGATTTTCCATGTTTACTTTTACTATATAATCGCCAACCTAAAGTAGCAGCATTTCTATCGCAAAAAACAGTACCACTGGCACAACAACGAAAATAGCCGTAACAGAATAACACCAAAACTGATTCGGTATCATTAGAGCTAATAAAAGTGCTATTAGAATTTGCCTAATTAGATAATATAATTTTTCCAAACTAACTTTTCTATCAAATTATTGAGAAATCTACTGCAGCAAAAAACTTCCTCCATGTAAAATTAGATTTCTGAGTAACATTTACAAAAAACATTTTTTTAGTACCTAAAAAACAAAAAATTCCCATTTAAAAGAAGTCTGAAAAATTTTACCTGGATCCTCCCATCTTTTCCAACAGCCTTTTTACTACATATACTTTTAACTACACATCCATTAATCCCCTTATCAACAGATGCATCTAACATTAACCCTAAACAAGCCAGGTATTAAAAGAACCAATAAACAAATATTTTTCCCATAAAACAAAAAATAAAAGAGCCGATGAAATTGTTTTCAGAGGCTTTCAAGCGTTAACAATACATCCGAACAATATGTGGTATTGTTCTATCCTGCATCTACATCAAATAATAATTAAAAACCGCACAGGAACCTACCAAGTGACAAAGGTCCCTTGGTGACTTTTATAGATCTTTCCAAACTAGGAGGCAGGTAAACCACGTCGTACCCCCAAGATCCACGAAGTTGTAGTGGTGAACCACATGGAGATACAGAACGTGTTGAGCACGGCGACCAGCTGCTCATCGACAAGTAGCTCTAAAAACGTTGTATTTGCGGAAATCAAGGGAAATGCACTAGTTTCTAGATCTTATTACAATCTAACAACCAATTTTCCTTTTTAGAAGCGAAAGAAGGTGAAGGATAAAAGAAACAAAGCAAATCTCAATGCAAAAAATAACGTTAAAGCGTTAAAAAAAACTCTGCTCAACCTTAGTAAATATGTTGAAACAAAACTATTGAACTACCAAAGCTGTTTAGTATTAACTGCAAATTTTTTCTGTTTACTGTTTACCCGTAAGAACACCATTGAAAAACTGTAAAAGAAAGTTGACAGAATAAGAAGCAAATGCTTACACTACTTAAAGAAGCATGGGACCTTGAAGTTGATGGAGTTAGCGATCCCAACGACGGATAAAGCTCCTGCAAATAAGCAAATGTTACAGAAACTTCCAACAGCTAACGAAACTGAAAAAAAGTAGTTCTGCAACGATAGAAATGTCATGATGATCACTGCTAGTAGCTGCCGAAGATGAAAGGCTTTATTTTTTTTTCCTCCTCACTAAGTGCAGCAAAAGAACATTTAAAAAACAAAAAAACACTTTTTTGGAAAACTAAACAAAAATCAAATTTAGTTTTTAAAAGGCACCAAAAAATGACAACAAAACAAAATTATTGTTGTTATTAAAGAATGGCATAAACTAATAATTTAAAAGTAAAAAAAAGAACGAAATTAAGCAAAAAATTATGAATAAAAGTAACAATAAAATACTCACAGCCAGATTATTAGTGAAAAACAAATCAATAAATATTATTAACGTTTCGAGAAAACTACATCATTTTGTAATCAAAAATAAATAAAAAATAAGGATTCTTTTTAGGAATATTTTCGCTAAATTTCCAATAAAACAAAAAGTTTTTATAATGAGAACGAGTGCTCAAAATAGGCACACAACCGCCCACTATCAACTGATAAGCGATTGATGAGGGAGAAGAGGAAAAAAAGAGACTGACGACTGACTGTTCAAGCGAACAAGCAATCAGGCATAAATCTTACCCTAAAATACCGCTTTCTGTAATCTTCACCACCGATCCAAATTTCCTCTTGACTGGAGACTGTTGGTGACGCCTGTAAGATAGAAGACAACAACAAAATACAGCTGTCAGTTAGGTACTTTTTTTGATTTATTTATATTCTTTCATTCATCGACATTGTTGTTCAAAAAAAAACTTTTGCCTTCCACAACTGTGACAATAGTTAATTTAATGCGGCAATGAGAGAGCAGTTAGCAGATACAAAATCATCTACAAACTGAATTTATGATTTACAGAAAAACTTCAGCGACACCAGTATAATAGTTTGAAGAAAATAAAGAGAGAAGAAACTGATAAGAATAAGAAATAAAATTAGAATTAGAAGATATCCATGCATTCAATTAGCTCTGCTGAAAAATTTACTTTTCAATTCAAAATCGCTTCAAGACAACTGAAGAATTGCTTTTCTGCTTTTAGTCTATCTTCCTCTGTCTTTGAAAAAGGTGTTACAATAAAGATTCACTATTTTACACAATACCACTACTGTGATTATCAGAAAAAGCTTGCAGTTTAAAAATTTATTTATTCCTCCACCTACCCTACTCCTCTCTTTGTTTGTTTGTTTGTTTCATCAACTTTTACAACTAATTCCACTTTTGTCAGACGTTCAGAAAGCAAGAAAGAAAAAAGAATGAAAGTTAAGAAAAAGAAAAAAACAACAAATTAAACATTAAACAATTGGAAAAAAAAAGACAAACACAAAAATTAGACAATTATATTCTTTCCTCATTATTTTTCACCTCCTGCTGTCCCTACCGCCTCTCCATCCATTCCTCTTTCGTCACGAATTATTTGAAGTAGCCTTCTCTGTTCTCCGTTAAAGAAATCCACGCAAGAAAAAAAAAATAAGAAAATTAAAAAAATTATAAGACAAAAACTCGAGCCAAAATAGCTGAAAAATTAGAGAGAAAAAAATACGTATGGAATAAAACGAGAACAAAGCCCTTAAAAGCACAATCAAGAAGCTTCCAAAGACAAAATATTCGATACCCTAATCTCTGCACCCTTAAACCTCCCCTATCCCTCACATATAACAGGTCCTTAAATGTGCCTCACTTTATCAAAATATTATGGCCAGATGTCAAAATATGAACAGTCAAAATAAAAAAAACCAACAACAAAATTCTAGAAAGAAAAAGAAACAAAATTTTGATTTTCTCGTTTTCAAGTTATATTTTTAGTTTTTTCGCATATTTACTTAAAATTAGCATCAGAAGTGTAGCCAAGACTGCGAGGGAACTAATTATTTATATTCTCTGCAATAATAAAATTTCTTCTCATCAAAAAAGATTTAGATTTTGAATGTTTTCAGTTCAATTTCAAAAAATTTTCTAAAACAATATTTATCTGGCTGTTTTTTACCATTCCTACCAATTTTTACAATTGTTGATAACAACAGTTAATTGAAGAAGAAGAGGAAGGGAAATAATTTGCTTATTTTTACGTCCTTCCTCCTACCTCTTTAACTTATCGTTGTCGCTATCAACACCGATATAGTAGCCGTAATAACCGTCACTTTCTTGACACTAGAACGAGAATAGATAATAAAAAAAATTACCTTTATATATCAAAATTTTGAGGTTGTGTATTATTTTATTAGCTGCAGCAGCCAAATCTAAAAGAAATGCAAAACGTATGCGCAAATATATATACCGGAAGTTTTAATGCTAGAGCTTGCAGAAAACAACCAATATCCCTGACAGCACTAACGAAAACAACGATAACGGTGGCAACAACAAAAGCTTCGTGAAGCTTCCTTCACTTGCTCCTTGCTATTTCCAGCAAAATATTATCATCCAATTCGTAAGCTTTGTTTGAAAAACTTGTTGCAGAAAGAAAATTTCTTTACATCTTCAGGTTTTTTTTTGCCCTGATTTTTCCTAAATCTTGAAGTAATTGTCCATTATGGGCAGGAAAAATCCTTGTTTTCCAAATAAGAACAGTTTCTTA